TTCTAGAGGCAGGTCAGGTTGTTCCTTTATGTTATATTTTTGTTGCAAGGCTCAGTTTATTACAATAGATGTGTCTGGTTTTTGTTCTTTCAATTTAACACGCTCCGTTTTGTAGTTTGACTTTATAGTATAATAATTTGGGGGGGAACAATGACCCGCCGCCAGGCTGTACAGCTGTTCCAATTGCCAAAAATATGATACCCGCGAACAGTATTGTCTTTGACAAACTCCTAGGTGCAGAATCTCCCTCGGGTAGTTCGTAGTTATTCATCTGTTATATGCAAAATGAATGTCTTCATGATCACTGATATCGAACAACTTCATTTTCTACCGAGATTAAGTATGTGTGGAGCCTTATCACATAACACCTCGCATTTTCGTGACGATGTGCTTAGAAACTGGGGAAAATTGAACTTAAACTTTTGGTAAAAGTACTTATGTGGACGTTAGAGGCTATACGGGCTGGCGTTACTACGTACATGTTTACGCGTCTGGTGTAACAAAGGAAAGCCACTCGGAGATTCCTAGGAAACAAGCTAGCTGACGTTCTATATTACTTCGCGTATCTGGGATAATGTCCAGTTTGACTGTCCACAAGCTACGTACTGGGGTATGGTGTTCATGGTGATTCAGAGATAATTATTCTACAGTACTTGGAAACATAGCATGGTTCCCGTATTTCTTGGTAGGATTATCTGGCCTATCATATGTTCTAAGGACACAGATGTTTAGTAGGGCTGAATTAGATGAAAAGACATCGAATGGTATGTGAATAGGTGAGTCTTTGTAAAACAAATTATGGTAATATTCCGGTATTTGCCTGGATTGACTGAGAAAATCACGTAAAATGTTAATAATGCCTTTAAGACAACCGAGATTCGAAATGGTAGCTTACTACCCTGGAACGTTAGACCTACACAAATGTACTTGAGTGAAATGGAAAGATATTTAATTACAAGGTTTCTTTGGAGTTACTGAGAAAAATCTAGGATTTCTCTGAGAGGTTAGTCGATAAAATAGTCGAGGTTGGAATTGGGAGCCTTTAGAATAACAACTTTACCTCTAAGCCAAATTGACTGAGAAATAACTTGTATCGCGGAGTTAGTAAATTATTTAGTTAATTACTCAGTCGGTGAACTGAATTTTTATCTGCTTCGGATTCCAGGTAGTATAAAATATTTTGATTCCAACCCTAAGTGGAAAGCCGTGTTACTTTCTTCATTTCACTTTGCAACACTTCTTTGTCCTGGCAGGTAACGTCCGGTAAGTACGTTTGCTTCCAACTGCTAGCTTCCTCTATTCGAAACCATGTTTCAGAGTGCAAGAACCCGAATTTGTATTCTTCGACCCACCATATTTGCAATGATAACTAATACACACATAGTTTGATAAACATATGTGCAACTAAAATGTATTTTTGTCATTAGAATAATTTATTATTATTATTATTATTTACTGTGATATGTGACATAGATTTCTGCAAAAAAATATGTTTTAAGGCCTGTACTTGAGATATACATTTATAATGTCTTTTCCTATTTGTATTTACTTCGGTGCTGTTTATATTAATTATCGTTTAAAAATGTTAAAATTTAATTTCTTTAGTATTTTTTTGAGAAAGACAAGGAAAGTACCTGTAAAGGAGAGACTCCCTCTGTGTTGAAGTAAAGACGATGATCTACGTATATAATTAAAATGTTTCGACATCAAAGGTAAGGTAATATTAAAATGGTCATTAAAAATGTAAGTTGTGAAAATGTGGACTTTATTCATCTAATTTGGGTTCAGTTTTACAAAACGCTAATTCAGCGACTATCAGTTTCTGAACAAAGAGTCTGCTCCATGCAGCTAAGAACTGTAACAAACAACTTGGAAAAAAAACTGCATTGTGTCATAAATGCGAATCAGTTTGATGGTAGTGGTCTTCAATTTTATAGACATTAGTAACAGAAAAGTCGAGACAGACGGATAAAGATTAGGGGAAAAAAGAGAGAGACGGAGAAGATGAAAGGAAATAAATAACTTTACATGCAAGTGTCCCGATTCGATTCCAGAAGTAGTCACTTCCCCTCAAACTGAGCCAACCGGGCACAGCTATTGTTAAACTTGCGATATTTCCTTTCGCACAATCCGGAGATTACAATTTTCCCAGGGCTTAAAAATTCCACAGATAATGTTTTAACGGTAAAATTAGATGCAGAAGTTTCCAGCAAATCAAGTCGCGTTAACCAGCGGAAATGTAACGTACCTTATTGGAACGGATTGATCGCTTGAGCGTCAAAGTCACGAAGTTTCACCGTCATGTGAAGGAGCGCCGTGAAATTAGGCTTTATGCATGCCACTTCACGTTACACGAATGCAATCATTTAGCTACTAATTAATATTTGACCAACATTCGACACTGTGGAAGCAGTTTGGAACAAATAGCGACTGTCATGTGAAGGGATCTGTAAGCAAAGTTGACCTACAAGGGACGACGTAATACAAAATTTAGTCAGAATAGTGTCATAGCGCGAAAAGTTACTACGTAAAGGTAAAGGAAGAAATTTAAAGAAAATTTAAACGGGAAGGCAAAAAGGAGAATGGGATAACATTAAAATAGATGTTAATGAAAGATACTGTCCACTGTCACCAAATAGGGATTAAGGAAATCATTTGTTTTAGCGGTGTTCAACTTTGCAATTCTATTACGTCAGCCACTGTCTGTTCTCAGGGAAATTTTGTGACATGCCCCCATAGAATTTCAATGTAAATATACGAAGAGATTTCTGTTATCTCGAATGTGGTAAATAATAACAACATACAGATTATTGGAAGATCAGAAAGGAGCCGCTTTAAATAATCGAAGTAGAAGTGATGACAATATTAAAATATATTTTAAGTTAATAACTCTTCGTAATTTGGAATGAATTGGAGTGTCCCATGACCATACAGAGGTAGAAGTTATTGAACTACCGGCTTCTGAGATTGTAACAGAACTATAAAATCTACGAAGGATGTGTTAGCAGAGGTCTTGCGGAGAACTGTACTGAATTCCAGGGATCTATGTACAAGCCGCCACAAGATGTTGATGTATTGATAGCGATCTGGCTGGCCACCCAGGAGTACTAGCTGTGATCTCATCTCCCAGTCAGATAATGTACTACATTGCCCCGTAAGTATCGAGAGGCAGCCATATTTCATGTGTCTATCAAGAGAAACGTCCAGACCGCAAAGAGACTGAAGATCAAAATGATTAAGGATTTATTAAAAATCAGTCCGATGAAACCAGATTCAACACTTGTCTTTTCCTCGCCTTTCCTCCTTCTTATTCGTTTTCGTTCTTTGTCATTCTGCATCTTCCATTAGTAATCTCCTTCTTCTCATAACATTCTTCTATTTTTTCTTTTGTACTTTTTCCTGTCCACGTCTTCTTCTTCTTCTTATTCTTCTACAATCGGTACCCATTTTTTTGTAATTCTACAATTTTTTAACATCTTTCTTTCCATTATTTTCATCACCTATTGTCTAATAATCTTCTTCCTTCAAAAGTAAGTCAAAACTGAATCTGAGAAACAGATCACAAACGTCTCATACCAAGGAGTTTGTTGTAGTGATAAGTTATGTTACACATATAACATATACAACATATAAATATGAATAATAATTTTTTCTTAACTGTATCTGAAATTTGTCAAGAAATATCAATATTCTGTAAACGAAGGAACTTCATCTCTTCAGACACGGCTTATACGAGGTGCGATCGGAAAGTTTCCAGACTGCGCCTATAAAAAAACCCGTACACTTATCTCAGGTATTAAATTCATCCATCACCCTCGAAGTAGTTCCCCCTGGGAGTGAACACAACGATCCCAGCGCCGCTGCAAAGCCTGGAGATTTGAGACGATAGAAGAGATTCAGGCAGAATCGCAGATGGTGCTTGACAGGCTGACAAAGAAAGATTTCCAGGGATGCTTCCAGGCTTGGCAGCGGCGCTGGGATCGTTGTGTTCACTCCCAGGGGAACTACTTCGAGGGTGATGGATGAATTTAATACCTGAGATAAGTGTACGGGTTTTTATAGGCGCAGTCTTGAAACTTTCCGATCGCACCTCGTATATAGTATCGAAATTTCAAACTATACCTATAGAGAGTAAATACAGTTCTGAAATAATATTCAACTAGAAATAAATTTAATAATCAATAACGCACAGCCTACAATGGGTAGTTACCCTTGTTGAGTACTGGGACCACGAACAGACAACGGCCATTTTATTAATTTGATAATAATCAATACCTTTCAACTCCACTGCCGTTTATAAAATACGTAATGTGATTATAAACAAAGTAATTTCAAGAAAATCAGCTTCTGTTTAATAAACATCAAACACGCCCTGTGATAAAACGTTTCCTTCCTGTGGGATTAACATCAAAGGTGATTCTCTTGCTCTGTGCTCTGTGCAGACATAACAACCCTCGCTCGTTACTAGAATGTTTTACATTTCTTTCGGAGAGAACGTACCAAATGTTACTGGCGGTAGTTAACTGACAATGAAATGTATGTTAATGATACATTAGATGTGAGACCTCAAGTACCTGTCTGTTTTTCTACAGAGATGCACAGGCGTGTGAGTCACGATGCGTTTCAATGCGAGAGGCAATTAGAAAACACCACGAAACAATCCCAAACCATGATAGCTTACAAATAATTCCTTGAACATGAGATATTTATTCTGCTGATGAAGAAACACACTTTTTATATGAAAATCTATGTTTGCCCAACATCATTGCAAAAAACCAATCTTTACAATGGATATATATTTCGATATTTATTTTAAAATTATTAATTATCAACAATTTTCAGTGGTCAATTCATTTGAGGTTTCCAATTAAAATTCTATATGAATTTTTACACATTCATTTCAATATACAAACAATAATTTAAAAAGTAACATTTATTAATGTATTCATTATATGACGATTATTTCTTCCGTAACGTCATATTTCTTAAACACCCAAAAAAGCTGAATATAATAAATTACTTATTTTATTTCCACTGTCATTATATCAGTCATAAAAAGTTCTATCACACTTGACAATGTTGATGTTCTCGACTGTGACACCGCGTACACTGACAAACAGATCTTCCAACCCTGAAAAGAGATTCACTATTTTTCTTCGAAAATTTGGCATTCATATACGGATACGAGTCTGTCATCGAAATTTACCAGCCGACGTGTTGTATTCAGGCCAATTCAGAAGGTTTATATAGCGACAAGGCGTCTGCGTCATATTCTATGTGTGCCAGGGACCGGCTATAGTCAGCCTTATCCACCCTTACCTACTAACCATCTGCAATTATTTTTTCCCATGATATTGTAAACTCTGTGTTTAAAAAATGTTTAAGTAAATAAACTAAGCCACACTTAAGAAATGTTTCTTCTCAAGCCATTTCTAAATCAAACTACGTAATTATTAGACATTTCATATCCTGAGCAGTGGATACAAAGAAAATAAAATAAAATAAGCTAACTAATCGAAGACAGTTTCCTCATTTTTTGGGTCAATTATGACACCACATGGAATGCGATCCGATGATTAAGAATGATCAATCGGAAGGGATACACGGCGAAGAGGTCTTGATCTGCTTAAAGGAATTGTGTCCTAATTTACCAACGCGGACGTAAAACAATTGTCAAGGCACTGTATCCGTATTTATGTTGAGAGAATGAGACAAACAGCAAACATTTTCAGAACGAATTTCTGGCAACTCGACCGAGATGCAAACCAATAACTTCACAAATATAAGTCCAGAGTGCTATGTCACTCGCTCGAACCTGCCCCGTGTCCTGGACTTCCTAGCCAACTGATTTTTAACGACGTGGCGCATCTGAAAATAGAACATACTGCGTTACAATCAGAAGGTGTAGGAGTTCGTGTATTTGGGGTTAAGCAACCCTCCCCCGCGGGGAACGAACACGCTACGAGGGAGGCGGTGTCCAAATTTACATAATAGGATCTCGATAGGAACTTCCCAAGCAAATACGCTGATTCCTTTCTAGCTGAGATTTGTTTTAAAAAAGTGAACGCCCTAGAGACCTCAACAGGTCGGCCGACTATGTTGCTACCTAGCGCCTCTCTCTGCAGTTTTTGAGTTATAAGTTTTCACGCTACTTTGACAGACTGATTTACAATGATTGATCAGCCTAATGTGCGATAAAGTTACAGAACATAAACGGCTAAGCAGTTATAACGCTTGTATGCAGTTCGTCTCACGGAACCTAAAGGCGAATGAAGTTCAACACGATTTGGATGTGCTCGGAACATCGGCTTGCTGTTGTAACAGCCAATTTATCTCAGAATTTCCCCTTTTTACTGATGTTGCAGACACAATTAGAGCTTTATTACAGTATAAAGCCGTCAATTGTTTCACCGTGTCTTTGTAAGGTTAGCTGTTCTGCCATATGAAAGCTTCTACTGAATCCGTGATAACATCAGTGTCATAATAGTAACTCATAAGTTTTAAGAGAAAGTATGGCTTCAGACACCATTGTCGATTTATAACAATTAATAAGAAAATTCTTTAATCACTCGATTTTGCAAACAGAAGCACATTATTTAATAAACAGCAGCATGGCTTGTCATTCCTAACCTTGTAAATTATAAGGCGACAGTAGCTCTTAGCACTTGATATTAAAAATTATTCTTCTGCTTTCAACCACGACTTTCAGGAGAGTTCTGGTATGGTTTATTGATTACAGCATAACATTATGAAATGCCCTGAAAATATAAATTCGGGCAGTAACCATGAAGACAGCTGTTTCGAAAACATTAGCATCTGTTTGGAAATGGCAAATAAAAAATTCGCCGAAACGTCGGTTAACAGCAAATATTCGACCCGTGTATCACCAGAAAATCTAAGTTACACATTGTTTTTAAGAAATATTAAGGCTCTGTTAAAATAAATGAAATTAATGGCGTTAGTCGTGGGCTAATTCAAGTTATTATCATAACATGAGCTTAGAGGGATTTAGAGGAACTACGGACAGCATGGAACAAGAATTTTCATTCCAATCCTGATTTTACTCGAAGATATTCTAAAATTCATTGGGATGTTTTATCTCTACGAAGACCTGTAAGTGTCTTGTTACAGTACTCGCGCTGAAACATTTTCATCTAAATCATATGAGATAAAATCCTACGCAGATTTAACTTAGAACAAGAATATTTTAATATTTGTTTATTTTCAATTTGCATATGTGGCTTGTCTCGCACCGTAAAAGTGGCGTTGTCTTGATCGTGCATTCAAGTCCCTCATAACTATCGCATGAAAACAACAGCGGAACGAGTGCTGTGTCCTCCAAGGGTCAAAAAGGTTTTCTGAATACATCAACTGTTTTATAAGGAAATTCGTCTTTGACGGGCAATGCGACGGTGAACTGAAAATGGTGAACGGGAATGCCACAATAACCACCCGAATAATTGAAGAATTTTATACTCGTGACCTAATACTGAGAGAGGATTAAAATCTCTTCACTCAGTATTATAGCGGGGATCATTTGTGGGAGATTGATGTACGAGAGGCACTGGACACAAGGTAATGAAAAATACACATGAAAATTTTATATATTTCAAGTAAAATATCACTTGGAACATCTACGAAGTTTAAATTGGAGTACACGAATTCATATTATTAAACTGGAAGTCACGAAAATGGGAAGTAAGGTTTTAACACGATTAAAGTGATCCAGAACAGGGTACAATAGCAAAATTTTGTAAAGGCAGAGATGAAATTCCACAATGCTTAGCGAAGAGATATTGAACAGTACAGAACAGAATATTAACAGCTCAAAGAAGACAGCATGGGTAGAGCAACTTTAATTAATGTGAGATCGAAAATATTTAATATAAAATTTTATTCGAAATACCTGAAGAGAAGCAAATGATATTCAAATGGACTTGAAAAGTAGAGTGTTTATTTTAAACATTTCTGTATGTTTGAAAACGCATGATTATATACGAGTAATCTCTACTAACCAACAAGAGAACTTAAAATCACTAACTTGTTTACATATAAATCTACTGTTTCTGAGCTTTATAAGATAACATATATATCCAGGCAATATAATAAATTCAAGGCCAATGGTGTGGACAAATCGTCTGGAAAATATTTATGCTAGGCTGACAAAGAAAGATTTCCACGGATGCTTCCAGGCTTGGCAGCGGCGCTGGGATCGTTGTGTTCACTCCCAGTGGAACTACTTCGAGGGTGATGGATGAAATTTAATATCTGAGATAAGTGTACGGGTTTTTATACGCGCAGTCTTGAAACTTTCCGATCGCACCTCGTATTCCAGCGGGATGATGTGAAACACATAGATCGCTCTTGCTGGCAACAGGCTGGAGAAAGCGTGCAGCTAGATCACTGCCACTGCGGGTACCTATCACCAATATGAGTCACTATTTTCTGTTTCTGCGTTATGGTCAGACAAGTACCAATATTTGTACCAGTCCAATCCTCTTATATGGAACACAGAGACAATTCTGTCATTGTGACTGGGCAATGAATCTGAACTGGATTGAACTGGTCCAGTGGCGTGCTTCCGTGGCGACTATGGACAGAAGGCTTTGACATATATAATAAAGTCTGCCATTAAGTAGAGACGGTCAGTTCCACGCTCCGACTGTCCTTACCCTGAAGAAAGAACCCCGGTTCCGAATCGAAAATTAGTATTGAAATTCGTTACATCACTTCACTGACATATTTCCCAGCTATTACAACTACAGCAATTAGAGAATATTATTTCTATTTGCACAGAGCATGTCCTCACGCCACCGAATCTTTAAGACGTCAAAAGGCCCCTAGCAACATAAGAAACACCCATTCCTCAAGCGGAAGTCGAAACCGTGATCCAAATATATGGGAGACAGAAGCCTTAAAGTGCTCATTCACTACTATCGGACATGTATAAAACGCTGTACAGGAAGGCTTGTCTATGATTTAACCAGTTTTTATTCTAACAAACAGGGAAATTAAAATTAGAACAAAGATTAACAATTTAACCAAAAAATTATATTTAAACATTCAAAGAGTTTTTTTAAATATAATTCTATTACGCAATGTGCTTTCTGAAGTTTTCTGAAAATCCCGTCAATAAAACACGTGCAGAACACTTTAACGAACTATAGGAAGAAATAATGAATGACGAAAGGGAGGTTAAAAGTGAAGGACATTTTAAAACGAGCATCGCTTAGTTAGGGGTAATGTTCCACACATTTCTGAAACAGACTCACAGTACTTGGCGTATGTATTTTTCAAAGTTTTTTTTATCTAGGGTCCACGTTTAAAGTTTAAGCAAACTAATTGTTGTGAGCAAACAATTTTTATCAAATCTAAAACTTCTTGACGATGGTGAAGAGTCAATTGAATACAAATTTTTTTGGATATTATCCATCGTCTAGTAAATATGAAACGTAAAACGACGTTTCGGAGATGGGACTCTATCTCCGTCTTCAGGTTCCTACACAGTTGGGCCCACTAGATAGAGCTAATCCCTATCTCCGGACGAACGATTTATATTTACTAGACGATGAATAATATCCAAGAAAATTTTTATTCAAAAATTGTTTAGGTCCATTGAGATTTCGCTGTACGTAACACTGCGTTATCATTCCAATCCATTAATAAGTCATTTGACATCAATTTTGACAATAAATTTACATAAATATCTAAAGGCGAGGTCATTATAGCTTAAAACGCCATTTGGAATGTAAAAATTTTAAAAAAATTTCCAGGTAGTATTTTTGAGTGACGGATTGTATGAAACCTCGGCATATGAACCCATTTTGTCCGATTCCAAAGATGAAGTCGCTATATTTAAACATGATACAGGATCACAGATTTCCATTAAGTTTTCACATAATGAACACATAAAATATTATAAATAAAGGCAAAGTGAAGCAATCTTGATTGCGAACGAGTGGTTACGTTCAGACGAGGCCCAGAAGAGCTGTATGTAATTTTCGTGAGGAGGTAAACACGAGTGTGTGCACAGCGCACAGTGGTAGTTAGGTACGGAGACGGATGTTGGCCTCAGGGGTTGGTTAATGCAGCGTAGGTCTGTCCGTAGACCATCATGACTCCACTTAGCGTAAACAAACAGCCGTGAGGTACTGAGTGCAATCCAGTAGGATCCTAGGTTTTGCGATGGAAAGTGACCTATGGACGTCCATCTTTCCGATCTAATGATAAGAATTCAGACAGAAATTGCAGTCTCTCATAAAAAAAAAGGAGACAAATTGAGAGAAACAAATAATGTACGAGGAATACGCGTTGTTCGTGTTTTCTTGTTGGAAGCCTGGAACATCTCTGAGCGGAAACTGCGACTATAATTTACTGGGTTGAAGTTTAGTTCCGATTGAGGGCTAATGCAAATATTCGGTCTGTAGTTATTTAAATTCGACCTGGAAACCCCAGTTATCGTAATACGTTTTTCGTGGATTTATATCTGTCTCTATGACAATTAGGGGATAGTATTTTAAAACATACCACATATTTTTCCATTCCTTATTCAAAAACTTCCTAGAATTCTAAGCGGCCGTTTTCCCTGAGATCTTCTGACCGAAATTATGTGTACTACATCTCCGCCCGGCATTAATTAACTGGCTAAACCATTTATAAAGAATCCCTGTTGAGCTGTTGATAGATAAGCCACATGCTAAGTTAGCTGAACAAAGTTCACAAATTCATAAATATTTCTCTTAAGTTCCACGTAGAAAGGGATATACCGTTATGAAATGGTAAAGATAACATCTACTCAAGAGTAAGAGAATGTAAATACCAAGAGTGAAAACACCTTTCTAGCTTATTTATGAAGTTCCTGTCAGAAATCGGAATACATTGCAGCCGCGTTATCTTCAAACAACGAAATTTGATCGCCACGCCCCGAAACATAAACCCATCTTGTATTAATGTCCCCCTTCCTCACATATTCATCCGACGTATTCATATGAAAGGTATAATGGATGGTCTCAAAACAAGTTGTTTGTCGCCAATCCTTATAAACTTAATCTTTAGGTCCTAACTACAGGAAATAAGACTGATGGGATCCTGATTTTCAAACGATTCTCAAAATAATTAATAGTTATTTTCCTAAATAGTATTAATCTATTAAATTTGTACTGGAGAAAATCTGTCGTCTTCGAGGTAATGACTGGATTTTAATTAGACGAGGTTCGACTTTAAAGGGTTAAATACCACGCGAATGCATTTAATTAATATTATCATATTATTATTAAGTACGATACGATTCGCGGATAACGTGGTAAGAGTAATGTGTAAAAAACGCGTACAAATGTTTAGACGAAAATCTGAATAAACGAGAACACTTGGGGGGTCCTTCGTTGGAGGTTAATTTTATAATGTATTTTAAAATATAAATTCATGTGGTAGATTAAGGTGACTCAGAATGGGATATATTTGTGAACTCAAACACGCTAAATGAACTTCGAGTTCCGTGAATAGATGGGAAATTTTTAGATCAGGTAAGATACCTTTATAATGTATTTTAAAATATAAATTCGTGTGGTGGATTAAGGTGACTCAGGATGGGATATATTTGTGGACTCAAACACGCTAAATAAACTTCGAATTCCGTGAATAGATGGGAGATTTTTAGATCAGGTGAGATACTGTAAGCTTCTCAAAAATGAATATTTTCTATGGAGCCAGTTAGTTTCATTTGTAAATTAGAACAAGCCGTAGAATATATTCCGTGACAGATAACAAAGAAGACTTTCAACTTTAATGCACGTGATAAATCTGTTACGGGAAATTACATAAAATCTTCCTTCCTTCAATGAATTTCCCTGTCATAACATTCAATTTATAGCGAGTAAAATTGGGTTCTTATCTGACTGCAGAAATGACTATTTATGTCCGAGGGGCTAAACATTTTTACTTTTCTGACCACTCATTGAAGACGGTTACATGCATAAGCAGTGAGTCACAACTCGGTTTACGCAGTAAATTATAGCTTATTTTGTAAAAAAAGTTATAAAAACAATTATTTAACCTTCTTTGCATAACAAAGTTCGAATGTACAATTGCTCTCTGTCACTCGCACTTGAAATGCCTACATATTTTGGGTGTATTTCACAATTTGACGCTATAAAGTAACCTAAAGTTACAAAACCACATATTTATCACTAATTTCGTTTAGAGCTTCAAAAAATCTGAAACACGAGCAAGTCTGTACAAGCTAGATAAAATAAGACCATGAAGTTGTGCTCCATCATAAATTACACATATATTTCAGATGCGTGTCTTAATATTTTTCATATCTTACTGGACATGGCACTCATATATGACAGACAAAGATTCAGTATTAAAAAGCTATCACACTATACATTCACTTCACGATATCCGAAATTTTTTTAGTACTTAAAATATTTTAAATTTATTTTAATCTCGATATAAGATAAATAATCGATGTTTTTAATATTTGTCCTGTAAGAAGAAGGAAATACAGTGGATAGATATGAATCAAACTTAACATAGGCCCATTACTGATTTTGTAGAGCCTTCATATAACATTACGTCAAAATCCGATTACTTTCGGAGTGGTAACATGTGAACACATAGGCATGGCCTCCCCATCATGTATTCAGTATTTGCATAACGCTGAGAGAACGTATAATATTACGTGTCATTAAATTTAACGCAGAAAAATTACCTCGTGATGAGTTGAAACATAACACACAGAGTAGTTATTATTTTATAAAGACGTTGTGATGATGGCAATTAATAATATGAAACATAAACAGAAGACAATATTGTTAATATTGTAACTCATAATAAAATGAAAATAAGTTTTTCTTCGACTAAGTTCCAATTATATTTCTACCTCAAAATTCCTAATTTCGCATGTCTCCACATCATTTCCAACAGCGAAACGACTAAAATGTATACAGCTTTAATTAAATATCGAGTTAACACGAAAAGAGAAATAGTTTTAACGACGTCATTAGCAGTAATATACGTAGATCAAATAATCATCGCGTTCATAGTACAAAAATACATCGCTCACAGATCGCTACAGTCGGACTTTCAGAAACAAAATAAAGCAACAGATCTGAAATCACAGCAAACCTTATGTCTTCTTCATTTCGTGAGCTCTGTCCAGTGACAACAGGTCAGCATGAGTTGCTACAGTCTGGCACAAGAGGAAAGCCAGAACAATGTAGCAAAGGACACTTACCTGAAACAAAAGAGAAAGCAACATACAGAATTTTACATTGTTTCATTTCCATAAACAATACCCTGTTTTCAACACTCTTAACACCATACAGATAAGACAATGAAGTTTTCTTATAGGGGAATTATCAACAAAAGAATGAAGAATTTGATGGAAATACTTCCTTCACGTCACTGCATTCCAAAACCAGCATTAAATTAAAGAAAGCTTGTGGAATAAATTAGTGAATAACAACGGACGAGACTTTCCAATGTGGCACGCGGGCCACTTTCACGTACCTACACGTCGAAAAATATTAATATTTACAAAAATTTCTAGTGGAAATATTTCCTTTTATAAATCGGACACTCAGATATTGAGAATTTGATCACGTTTCTGTAGTGTCAAATATCTCATTGATATTCCTACAATCTGAAGATTAAAAATACAAGACAATACAAATTTTACTGTCGTAATATCCTTCCTATATTAATATAAATAATTTTTGTTGACTGGTGTCTTGACAAAAACATTTTTAATAAAATAAAAGTCAGAGACGTATTATTATTTGGCATGCGGCAATGATTTTGAGACATTTAAACAGAAATTTCATGTAATAGGCTAATCTCAATTCGTCAAATGCTCCGTTAAACAAATACTCCTAAGTAAGAAGTTCCGGGAAGAACCACTGACGAGTAATTTTATAGGAATATTTCAACACAACTGTAAATTAATGATTATTCAATTTAGTGATTTCTTTCTGCGCATATAGGAATAATTATGAATATTTAAATTTGGCATATATAACCTCAAAGTTAACTGAAATTATATGGTAACAATTCTAGAACGTTTTCTGTTACTGATTCTAGATCTTCAATTTGTTAACGTTAATCTTTAAGCTCTCTTATAAATTATGTAGAAGAGGCGAAGCGGATGATCTAAGATCTTCAATACAAAATTTTGATCCGAATCAAACTGTTCTCGAGTCAGAAAAACACGGCATTACAATTAAATTTCTTTAGCCACCTCGAAAACCGCAAGACATTCTAAAAAAATCACTCAGCATAAACTGTGGCATTTGTCTGTGCAAATCGTGTTACAGACATTTTTAACTTCGATAGATATTTAGCTACTTACACGTTCCCCTCAAAATGCACGCAGAAACGCATTGTGGATCTTCGTGTTAAGGGTACATCCCCTGCTCCCCAAAATAAAATGTTATAAAAATTTCTTCGATCGTTTTCGAATTGTTACACGCGGACGGAGAGACATGACGTAAATATTATTTAATAATTTAGTTCCTGCCACAAAGAAAATACAACCCAGAAAGATCAGGTGGTGGATGCTGTTTAAGGAAAACCTCGTAGTTTATATTGAGAAGGGCTAATAGATATTCATCACCCTGATGATGAAGGCAGTATGACCTCTGAAACGTTGGTTAACATCGACCAGACTACACAGCGCAACAACCCAGAAGACAGAAATCTTCATACTCATCGCCCTGATGACGGAGGCAGTATGACCTCTGAAACGT